TTGTTTTTTGCTATGCTCCCACCTTCGCACCCTTTTGGCAACAACGTTGGTCAACTCTGCTCGGTAACAACTTCATTCTATTAAACCGAGCATAGGGTTACTGGCCGTCTTCTTGTCATCAGTGCCGAGGTGGGAGACCACTCTCTCCGCCTTCGCATTGGCCACACTCGTCTTACTCATGGGTATCTCATGGAGAGGCACCCTGTTCCTCTCTGTGAGCAGTGTCAAGTTCCAGTATCGATTAGCCACATTCTGTTAGACTGCCCTCTCTATCAACGAGCACGCAGAATTTACCTCCAACGTCGTCTTCGTTCTCCTACTCTCTCTTTACCTTCCCTTCTTGCTGATGGACCCTCCTTTAATCCTGACTCTCTCATTGACTTCTTGACAACGACTGATTTACTCCACAAACTCTGATGATACTTTTCGCACTCCCCTCAGCCCTTTCTGGTTCAGTCTCTTGCTGCCCTTTACCCTTTCACCATCCACTGCCCCGCTGTTATCCGTAACCTGTTGCTCATCCATCTCCCTTTTGCCACCTGATGCCCTCGCTTCCTTCCTGCCCTGCAGCGCTGTATAGTCCTTGTGGCTTAGCGCTTCTTTTTGATTATAATAATAATCAAGCGATCATATGTGAAAAGGCTAGGAAGTTGCATGACGATTTAATTAGAAAAATGCCTGCAACTAGTGGTGATGTGAGTGAATTTAAGACCAGCAAAGGTTGGTTTGAGAGATTTAAGAATCGTAGTGGCATACATAGTGTGATAAGGCATGGTGAGGCTGTCAGTTCGGACCACAAAGCAGCTGAAAAATATGTGCAGGAATTCAAGGAGTACATAGACAGTGAAGGACTCAAACCTGAACAAGTGTTTAATTGTGATGAAACAGGCCTGTTTCGGAAGAAAATGCCAAGCAGGACCTACATTACACAGGAGGAAAGGGCACTCCCAGGACATAAGCCTATGAAAGACAGGCTTACTCTGTTGATGTGTGCCAATGCAAGTGGTGATTGCAAAGTGAAGCCTTTATCGGTGTATCACTCCGAAACTCCCAGTGTTAAGGAAAAACAATGTCCTCAAGGCTAATTTGTGTGTGCTGTGGAGGGCAAACAGTAAGGCATGGGTCACTAGGGACTTTTTCTATGACTGGTTACACCATGCATTTGCCCCCACTGTGAAAAATTACCTAATTGAAAATAGACCTTAAGTGCCTCCTGGTATTAGACAATGCTCCTGGTCATCCTTCAAACGTGGCAGAGCGACTTTCTGCGGAAATGAGCTTCATTAAGGTCAAGTTTTTGCCTCCTAATACCATTCCTCTCCTGCAGCCCATGGACCAGCAGGTCATTTCCAACTTCAAGAAACTGTACACATAAGCTATGTTTGAAAGGTGCTTTGTAGTGGCCTAAGAAACTCAATTGACTCTAAGAGAGTTTTGGAGAGATCACTTTAGCATCCTCAATTGTGTAAACATTATAGGTAAGGCTTGGGAGGAAGTGACTAAGAGGACCTTGAACTCTGCTTGGAAGAAACTGTGGCCAGAATGTGTAGACAACAGGGATTTTGAAGGGTTTGAGGCTAACCCTGGGAATCCTATGCCAGTTGAGGAATCCATTGTGGCATTGGGAAGTCCTTGGGGTTGGAGGTTAGTGGGGAGGATGTGGAAGAGTTGGTGGAGGAGGACAATGAAGAACTAACCACTGATGAGCTGCTAGATCAACTTCAACAGCAAGAGGCCAGACCTGAGGAAACTGCTTCGGAGGAGGGGATAGAGAAACTGAAGAAGTTGCCTACTTCAAAGATTAAGGAAATGTGTGCAATGTGGCTTAAAGTGCAAACCTTTTTTGATGAAAATCACCCTCACACAGCTATTGCAAGCCGTGTTGGTGACTATTACACTGACAACGTTGTGAAACACTTTAGGAATGTCATAAAGGAACGGGAGGTACAGGCCTCTATGGACAGATATGTTGTGCGACAGAGGTCCAGTGACTCTCAAGCTGGTCCTAGTGGCATTAAAGAAGGGGAAGTAACCCCGGAAAAGGACTTGCCACCTCAAGTCCTAATGGAAGGGGATTCCCCTTCTAAACATTAACACCATCCACAGTCTCCCCTCCTCCCATCCCATCAATCATCACCAGACCTTCAATAAAGGTAAGTGTCATGTAACTGTGCATGTCTTCTTCAGTTTGTGTGTATTAAAATTAATATTTCATGTGGTAAAAATTTTTTTTTGTTCATACTTTGGGGTGTCAGGAACGGATTAATTTGATTTCCATTATTTCTTATGGGGAAAATTAATTCGCCTAACGATAATTTCGCCTAACATTGAGCTCTCACAAACAGATTAATAGCGTTAGGCGAGGGTCCACTGTAAAACAAAAAATACGAAATTTGATGGAAAATTGACGAAATTATGCTCTTGTGAATTTTGATGTGTCAGTGATATTTACGCATCAGCGATTTTGCCGACTTTGCCAGCTTCTTGGCTGGCCAAAACCCTCACTCCCTTTCTTGGTACTTTTTCTCCTGCCCACCTCCGTCACTCTCAAGACTTCATTGAACGGGTTCGCTCTCTCCCAACCTGTAAGATGCTTAGTCTTGACGTTGAGTCCCTCTTCACCAATGTCCCTCTTGATGATGTCCTTGATTTCCTTAGAGAGAAGGCCCATGAAGGGTTTCTTCATCTCCCTATCCCCACTGATGTCTTTCTTGATCTGATCCGCCTCTGTGTGGACTCTAACTCCTTTTCCTTCCAAGGGAAATATTATTCCCAAACCTTCGGTGTCGCTATGGGCTCTCCTCTCTCTCCTGTCCTTGCTAATCTTTACATGGAATACTTCGAGACTGTTCTTCTTCCTACCCTCGATGTGCAACCTTCACTCTGGCTCCGCTATGTGGATGACATCTTTGCTCTGTGGCCTCATGACTCCAGTCTCTTCCCAAACCCTTTTTTTGAAGCTCTTAACAATCTTGCCCCTTCCATTAAGTTTAAAGCTGAATGGGAATCTAATTCCTTACTTCCTTTCCTTGATGTCCATGTCCACCGCTCAGATACAGGTTTTTCCTTTTCCGTTTACCATAAACCTATGCACAGTGGCATGTACATTCACTACTTTTCCTATCATGCTTCCCCTGTCAAGAAAAGTGTTCTTATCTCCCTCTTTCTCCGTGCCCTCCGCATCTGTGATCCTCAGTTCCTTCCAGCAGAAATTTCCACTCTTTATAATTCGTTCTCCCGTCTTGGCTACCCTTCCCATTTCATAGACTCTGCCCTCTCACGTGCTAAACGCAATTCTTCTCTCCCAAACTCTCTATCATGGGAAACTCTTCTATCCTCTGCCTTCCCTACATTTCCGGTCTTTCTAATCTCAACAATTCTCTCCGTCCCTTAGACATCAAGCTTACTTCCGCCAGACTAACACTCTTCGCACTAATCTCGTTCATACCTCTCCTCCCTCTACAGATGTTCCTGGTGTCTACTCTATTTCTTGCTCTCCTGTCCTCTTCAATACTTTGGAGAAACTGGTCGATCTCTTTTTGACAGACTTAGGGAGCACAAAAATAGTGTTAGGCTTGCCGACACTAACAATGCTCTTTTCTGTCACGTCAGAGATCATAGCCATCCTATTGACTGGTCTTCTGCTAAAACTGTCTTCCCTACTTCCAACTCGAACAGTCGCGTTTAGTGAATCCTCTCTTTACACAACTTTCCTTGTATGAACCTTAGCCTGGCTTCGTCTCTGTAGATGCCTTCCTCTCCCACACATTGTAAAATGCTCCAACTTCAGAACACCGTGATTTAAACCCTGAATCCTCATTTTTTCTTCTTCTTCTTCTTTTTCTTCTTCCTCTTCCCTTTCCTCTCTCCTTTTCTCCTCTGGGTTGTCTTTCTCTCTCCTGTCTCGTGTTTCTGTTCCTTCTTTATTTTTTTTTCACCACTTCCCTTTCACGCACCTCGGTGCGCTTGCTCTCCCTCTGTGGGTTTCTAGTCTCTTGCAGTGCTCCCTTCCTTTGTATTTGACTGGCTCGTCTTCCTTATTTCCACTTCTACCACTACCACTACCTCTTCTTCTTCTACTAATCTACTGATGAAATTAGACACATGTGCGGCGTCTGGGTTTTTCTTTGTTGTGGGCGTTTCGCCATCCAGTGGCTGGCTGGATGGCCGAAACGTCTACGGTGGGGATGCCCGGGTGTTGTGCATGTGTCATTTCATCCTGTCGGTATTATATACAATTCTTGTACTACTACCACCACTACTACCACCACTACTACTACCTCCACCTCTTCCTGCCTATATATAGCCGTCCTGCTCCTCCTCTGTTAGTGTGACTTTGTCAATGGTCCAAGTCGGACCGAAACGTCGTCGTAAGCTTCTGTCTTTTATGTGCGGGTTATTTGTGTATCGTTCCAGTCACGGTATTGTGCCTTTTTGTTATTTATTTAAGAAATGTTAGCCAGGCTTACTGCCAATGTTAAAGGGAAATGATAAGTCGAACAGGGTGGAATAAGTAAATACACCTTGCAAGTCGAGTCTTTATTGAATGACCCCATCCATACCCTTTTTCTGTACTGATATGGAGTACTATACTCTATCTTTATCCACCCATTATTGGGAAACTGGACAAATCTCTTTTTAATTTTAACCAAATCAGTGCACTACACCTCTTTTCACAAAGCCTAGATTTCAATATGTACTATAAAACAATCTCCAAGAATATAGCCTCCATATCCACAGCACTTTTTTTCTTATGAAATCATGGAGACTGGAAATCCAAAACATTTTCGAAGAAAATTTCTTAAACTTTAACTTTTGCAAGGGAACGATTAACTTCCTCCAGTTTATGAATTTGACGAATGAAGAAATCTCCATACCTCTGTGCAACTTTTGTGTCTGCTATGTGTATCATATTACCATCAATGAAGAAGTCAACCTGTTAAAATAAAAAAAATTAGTACTAGTCCAAAAACAGTACAATGCTTACACAAACATTATATATGTCTAAACTGTGGGATAGTTTTTATGGTTAAAAATAAAGGAGTTCTTTAAAGTTAAAATAAAGGAGACAATATAAAAGGGACTAATATAAGTTGTGATGAACAAATAAAGTGGTAATTAAGTAAAGGAGCTTGGGAATATAATGGCAAAATAGTGAACTTATTACACTTTACCACCTGAGAATAGCACCTTGATTATTTTAACAATTGTGAATATATGAACTAAGGTAGTTGCATAAAGCTAAAGGAGAAAATATATATAGGGGACTAAATTAAGTAATGGTAAACAAAGTTAAATGGACAGATAGTCACTATGATATAATATTGATTTGGGAGTAAGATCTGATTTACAAAATATAATAAGTTGAGCAATTAATTGCACTATAAAAAGTAAAAAAAATACGAGGTAGTTGGTACTAGCTAGCAAAAGATAGTTTTGGGAATCGCACAATAATGTAATTGGAATATACACTAGCACTAATACACTATACACTAATACACTGCTGCTAGGATGCCGCAGCAGCGGCATCCTAGCAGCTCTTATTCTTCAAGAATCCATCGCTCAAACAAAGCTTGTGATGGCCTAATTGAAGGTACAACTACATGAACCCACATAGACCACAAAATGACCCAAGAAGATTAAGAATGTAACCCAAATCTTGACAAAATAGAAGACCAAAGGAAGACAGCCCTGCTAACCCAAACACTGCCTCCGCTGCCAGACAATCACTTAACCCAAGCTCAGGGAAATCAAGCCTTCTCCGCCAGAGCTACACAGCATCTACTTTAGTGATACTATGAAAGGATATCGCAGAAGAAACAACAGCAGCAAGAAAAGAATAACACCAAGGACCCTAGAACTCACATTGTCTACCCAGCAGGAAGCCGGTGTATCATCAACCCCCCTCACCACTACCACCCAGAGAACAACAACAACAAACATGGATGACTCCCCCTCCAACTCCACTCCCTTCAAAGGATTCACCCATAACTCAGGTATGATTATTCCTGACAATATCAGGGACTACATCGTCGCTCTAGAAAACGAAATTAAAGATAATAAAGCAACACTTGCGCGACGAGAATCCAAGATAACCAACCATCGTGAACAAGATCCAAAACCTTGAAGAGAAGATTACATCGGGAAGTGCTGACACAAAAAATACTCTGAAAACAGCTATAGCCAGTCACACTGAGCAAATAACAACCCTAAATATGAAGGTTGAAGAAGCGATCAAGGACTGGAATCAGAACATGCACATTCGACTGAATGAATACCTTGATTTCCAAGACAACAAAACTGAACAAGATAAGTTGTCTGATGCAGTTATAATAAACAGCCCTCACATTCCTAGTGACATAACCCAAGAACAGTGCAAAGAAGCCTCTATCAGGATAATACAGGACCACGTAAAAGTTATCGTGCAGAACATTGAAATCAAAGAAACACGTTTGCTAGGAAAACAAGGTAGTAAACAGAGTATTATGATCAGACTCCATTCATATGATAAAAGAAAGGACTTAATTAAATCAGCAATTACAATGAAAAATGGAGTGTTCATCAACGAGTGTCTAATGAGAAAACGTCAAAACCTTCTGTTCAGGTTGAGAAAACTTAAACAGGAAAACAAAATACATCAGTGTTTCACTCGAGATGGGAAAATACTAGTTAGGAAAACATCAACAGGACAATATACCATCTCAAATGAACATGATTTCTCTACCTTCCTTAGAAAAGCTGACATTTCTGTAACAGATTAGATAAGTGTCCTTAACACATATATACGTGTGGTGCATATAGTGTACATTACTATTATATTAATGTGCATTATTATTTTTTTTTACTAGCTAATACCAGCTACCTCAATTACCTTTTACTTCTTTTTAATTGCTATTAATTGCTCATAATTTTGTGTTGCAAGTCAAATCTTAGTCCAAATTAATATTATTCACTGGCAACTGCCATAAACTTTTTTATACAGTGGACCCCCGCATAGCGACTTTAATCCGTGCAAGAGGGCTCATTGTTATGCGAAATGATCGGTATGCGAATGAATTTTCCCCATAAGAAATAATGGAAATCAAATTAATCCGTGCAAGACACCCAAAAGTATGAAAAAAAAAATTTTACCACATGAAATGTTAATTTTAATACACACAAACTGAAAAAGGCATGTACAATTACATGACACTTACTTTTATTGAAGATCTGGTGATGATTGATGGGATGGGAGGAGGGGAGAGAGAGTGTTAGTGTTTAGAAGGGGAATCCCCTTCCATTAAGACTTGAGGTGTCGAGTCCTTTTCTGGGGTTACTTCCCTTCTTCTTTTAATGCCACTAGGACCAGCTTCAGAGTCACTGGACTTCTTTCGCACAACATATCTGTCCATAGTGGCCTGTACCTCTCGTTCCTTTATGACTTCCCTAAAGTGTTTCACAACATTGTCAGTGTACAGGTTGCCAACAGGGCTTGCAATAGCTGTGTGAGGGTGATTTTCATCCATGAAGGTTTGCACTTCAAGCCACTTTGCACAGATTTCCTTAATCTTTGTAGTAGGCAACTTCTTCAATTTCTCTCTCCCCTCCTCTGAACCAGTTTCCTCAGGTCTGGCCTCTTGCTGTTGAAGTTGATCTATCAGCTCATCAGTGGTTAGTTCTTCATTGTCCTCCTCCACCAACTCTTCCACATCCTCCCCACTAACCTCTAACCCCAAGGACTTTCCCAATGCCACAATGGATTCCTCAACTGGCATAATCCTCTCAGGGTTAGCCTCAAACCCTTCAAAATCCCTTTTGTCTACACATTCTGGCCACAGTTTCTTCCAAGCAGAGTTCAAGGTCTTCTTAGTCACTCCCTCCCAAGCCTTACCTATAAGGTTTACACAATTGAGGATATTAAAGTGCTCTCTCCAAAACTTTCTTAGAGTCAGTTGAGTTTCTGAGGTCACTACAAAGCACCTTTCAAACAGAGCTTTTGTGTACAGTTTTTTGAAGTTTGCAATAACCTGCTGGTCCATGGGCTGCAGGAGAGGAGTGGTATTAGGAGGCAAAAACTTCACCTTAATGAATTTCATGTCCCCATAAAGTCGCTCTGCCACGTCTGTAGGATGACCAGGGGCATTGTCTAACACCAGGAGGCACTTAAGTTCTAATTTCTTTTCAGTTAGGTAATCTTTCACATTGGGGGCAAATGCATGGTGTAACCAGTCATAGAAAAAGTCCCTAGTGACCCATGCCTGTTTGCCCTCCACAGCACACACAAATTCTCCTTGAGGACATTCTTTTGCCTGAACGGTCTGGGAGTTTCAGAGTGATACACTAATAAAGGCTTCACTTTGCAATCACCAGTAGCATTGGAACACATCAACAAAGTAAGCCTGTCTTTCATAGGCTTATGTCCTGGGAGTGCCTTTTCCTCCTCAGTAATGTAGGTCCTGCTTGGCATTTTCTTCCAAAACAGGCCTGTTTCATCACAATTAAACACTTGTTCAGGTTTCAGTCCTTCACTGTCTATGTACTCCTTGAATTCCTGCACATATTTTTCAGCTGCTTTGTGGTCCGAACTGGCAGCCTCACCATGCCTTATCACACTATGTATGCCACTACGCTTCTTAAATCTCTCAAACCAACCTTTGCTGGCCTTAAATTCACACATCATCACTAGTTGCAGGCATTTTTTTTTAATTAAATCCTCATGCAACTTCCTAGCCTTTTCACTTATGATCGCTTGAGAGACGCTATCTCCTGCTAGCTGTTTTTCATTTATCCACACCAATAAGAGTCTCTCAACATCTTCCATCACTTGCGATCTCTGTTTTGAAAACACAGTTAAACCTTTGGCAAGAACAGCTTCTTTGATTGCCTTTCTGTTGCCCACAATAGTAGCGATGGTTGATTTGGGTTTCTTGTACAACCTGGCCAGATCGGCGACACGCACTCCACTTTCATACTTATCAATGATCTCTTTCTTCATCTCTATAGTAATTCTCACCCTTATTGCTGTAGGGTTGGCACTAGAAGCTTTCTTGGGGCCCATGGTCACTTATTTTGCAGATAAAATCACCGAAAACACTGTAATAATACGAAATGTTCCGATTGTATGCTTGGATGTTACCGCGGAGGCTGGCTGGTAAACAATGCCACCGGCGGCACATGTGAGGCTGGCTAAGGGCGCACATTGGACGCGTCTCGGATGAACAGCAGTGAGCGGGTTTTTGAGTGGTATGAGATGCAAAATTTTTGCGATAAAAGCGAGCGGTATGCGGATTGAACGTTATGTGATGCCGACGGTATGCGGGGGTCCGCTGTACCCTGTGGAGGCTGTGACAAGATTTACATAGGTGAAACAGCAAGAAACCTCGACACCCTCCTCAATGAACACATTTACGCATGTAGGAACGATAACTTGAACAACGCCTGTGTACAACATCGAAATTCTACCAATCATCTCATGAAATTCAGAGACGCCCAATTAGTGATTAAAGAAACTAATTTCCGCAGACGCAAGTGCCTCGAATCAGCACTGATCGCTGTTTCGAATACAATTAAACAAAACAACGGCAGCTTTACCATCTCTGAAGTCTTAGCTAGAATCCTCCTGAAAACAGTAAACCCTGCCATCACATAGTCTCTCCTGTTATACTACACAAAGCACATTACAGAGAGTGAACACTGAAACAGGCTGCCTCTTTCCAGTCTATATTTGTCCAACCTATTTTTATGTTACCCAAGTAATAGCTTTTATATCCTTTTACTCATGTACGAATTAATTGCTCTACCATATTGTATTACTACTACTTTTGTCACTTCTACTACTACAACTACCACTAGTGAACATCTAAATGGTACCTCACTAGTACTGCACCTCACTCTGAGCCTTTATATACCCTCTGTGTCCATGTATTGTTTGTAATGGCTTGATAAAGCTCCTGGAGAGCGAAACGTTGCCACAATAAAATGTCACATTAGTTGCACTTGTGTCCTTTTACTTTACATATTGTCGGTAATTCTACCAACTTTATTACAATCTGTCGGACACCGCAACATAATGGACATTTCATGCAGACGTTATGTGGACACCCTTCTTCGTGCTCACAGCTATCGCAACAGACACAACTTCCTACAAGATTGCCTGGCAGAGAAGGTGATCCCTAAGTCTACTCCTGCACAACTCTCCAACTCCAAGCACCCCTTCTCTCCAGCTACCCAAGCTTACTTAACTGAATGTGCCGAAGAACTTTCTAACATCGCTAAGGAAACCTTTGAAACTGCAAGGACCAATCTTCAGATTGATCAACACACTGCTGAGCATATTCTCAGCACAGTCACCACAGCTAACCTCCAACAGAAGATCAAACTCAATAGCAAACTTCAGTACCTCTGCACTAACAGTCGATGGAAGGAAATGGGACGCGAATCCCTGATAAATAACTTATCGTCACGCACCTTAACCGACTACGAGAAACAAGCACTGAGTCTGGGACTCAAATTTACCACCAACATACGCAAACCTAACTATCAACTCAATCTTGTTACCAGGAACCATAGACACAGTGACAGCAACTTCCAGAAGGGTTATATATAGGGCCTTCTCACTGCAGCTTTATGTGAACCTTCTTCTTCTAATCTTCCTAGATGATACATCACTGCCCTTAAGGACCTCGCCAACGACCCCAACATTATCGTCACCACCGCCAACAAAGGAGGTGGAGTCGTCATACTCAACACCAGTGACTACAACACTAAAATGATGGACCTTTTGAATGATCAATCTACATACGAACCCATCAGCACTCAACAGTGGGAGACGCTCACCAAAGACTTTCTATACAAAGCCAGACAAATACTCAAATGCACTAGAGAAGGGAAGAAACTTCTGTACTTGTTACCAAGCAACCCTAAACCAGCACACATGTATGGTTTACCCAAGACCCATAAACACAATATTCCTCTCAGACCAATCACGTCAGGAATAGGCAGTGCTCCACACAAACTAGCCGGAGTTCTTGCCAAACATCTTTCCTGCCTTCTGGGGACCATCAGCCCCGCTCATCTTAAACACTCAGGCGACCTTCTCAACCACATCCGAAACAGCTTCCTTGATTGCCTTTCTGTTGCCCACAATAGTAGCGATGGTTGATTTGGGTTTCTTGTACAACCTGGCCAGGTCGGCGACACGCACTCCACTTTCATACTTAGCAATGATCTCTTTCTTCATCTCTATAGTAATTCTCACCCTTATTGCTGTAGGGTTGGCACTAGAAGCTTTCTTGGGGCCCATGGTCACTTATTTGGCAGATAAAATCACCAAAAACACTGTAATAATACGAAATGTTCCGATTGTATGCTTGGATGTTACCGCGGAGGCTGGCTGGTAAACAATGCCACCGCGGCACATGTGAGGCTGGCTAAGGGCACACATTGGACGCGTCTCGGACGAAGAGCGGTGAGCGGGTTTTTGAGCGGTATGCGAGGCAAAATTTTTGCGATAAAAGCGAGCGGTATGCGGATTGTACGTTATGTGATGGCGACGGTATGCGGGGGTCCACTGTACTTCAATCTAAAGTTCCCATCATGAAATCACTAAAATACAATAAGTAATCCAACTGAAATATCTACTTCACCATCATACAAGAAAGATGCACATAAAGTTAACCCTTTAACAGTATAATTTTCATAATATTCTTTAAGGGAAATTAAAGATTAATGGCTAAAAATTATAAGGTTTTGTTTAAAAAAAAAAAGTGATTTCATTACACAGTTATTCTGCAGGCACACTAGAGAAAATTAATATTGCAGGCTTAGAACAGTATTTACCTGCAAATATAAAACTAGAAAATTACATGTCCTGTGGACCACTTATAACTGTCTCACCTCTGAATCACTCTGGAAGTCTCCTTGCAGGCCAGAGGTACCTTTAGTCCACACCATGTTGCGCATTTTGTGCTTGAAACAAAGAAGAGCATTTCGGAAATCCTCCTCACTCATCTCCTGGAAGGCAGCCATCTTCTCCATGGGCATTGTAGTATAAAGCTTTAAGTATGACCTCATCACACTGATCTGCTGCTGCTGTTGCACTTCATCCAAAAACACCTGAGTATATATGGTACTTATACAACACCATTTCAAGATGTTCCTTTATTTTAAAATACAACATGGCAAAAATTTATATAGTACTTAGAATAAAGTTAATGGTATATACACTGCATTCAAATTACGTTTTTTTTTTTTTTACCTCACCGGTCATCTCCCACCAAGATATGGTTACCCAAAACAGAAACACACACTATTCAATCACTGCTTTGCCCAAAGTGTGCTGACATCAAAGGTGACCCCTGAGCAAATTTACTTGGTTGAGGTGGTATGGACATTTAGAGAGGAGAGAGCAAAATAGGATGGCTTGCAGAGTGTATATATCTGTAGTGCAGGGGAAAGGGTATAAGGGTCACCCTAGGAAAGATTGGAGGGTTCGGGGTAATGGTTTTGTGTGTGAGGGGCTTGGACATCCACTGGGTGGGCATGTACATACGTACGTGTGTGTGTGCATGTGTGTGCGTGTGTGTTAGTTACCATTTTGTCCTGGGCACATGTCGATTAGACACTAGGCCTGTTGTGCGTGTGTAGATGTGTAGGTGTGTTAGTTACCATTTTGTCCTAGGCACATGTCGATTAGACACTAGGCCTGTTGTAGGTGTGTGTGTGTGTGTGTGTGTGTGTGTGTGTGTGTGTACTCACCTAATTGTACTCACCTAATTGTGGTTGCAGGGGTCGAGACTCAGCTCCTGGCCCCGCCTCTTCACTGATCGCTACTGGATCCTCTCTCTCTCTGCTTCCTGAGCTTTGTCATAACTCTTCTTAAAACTATGTATGGTTCCTGCCTCCACTACTTCACTTGCTAGGCTATTCCACTTGCTGACAACTCTATGACTGAAGAAATACTTCCTAACGTCCCTGTGACTCGTCTGAGTCTTCAGCTTCCAGTTGTGACCCCTTGTCCCTGTGTCCCCTCTCTGGAACATCCTATCTCTGTCCACCTTGTCTATTCCCCGCAGTATCTTGTATGTCGTTATCATGTCTCCCCTGACCCTTCTGTCCTCCAATGTCGTCAGTCCGATTTCCCTTAACCTTTCCTCGTACGACATTCCCTTGAGCTCTGGGACTAGCCTTGTTGCAAACCTTTGTACTTTCTCTAACTTCTTGACGTGCTTGACCAGGTGTGGGTTCCAGACTGGTGCTGCATACTCCAGTATGGGCCTAACATACACAGTGTACAGTGTCTTGAACGATTCCTTATTAAGGTATCGGAACGCTATTCTCAGGTTTGCCAGGCGCCCGTATGCTGCAGCGGTTATTTGGTTGATGTGTGCCGCCGGTGTTGTGCTCGGTGTTATGGTCACCCCAAGGTCTTTCTCCCTGAGTGAGGTCTGTAGTCTTTGTCCACCTAGCCTATACTCTGTCTGCGGTCTCCTTTGCCCCTCCCCAATCTTCATGACTTTGCATTTGGCTGGATTGAATTCGAGAAGCCAGTTGCTGGACCACATGTCCAGCCTGTCCAGGTCTCTTTGCAGTCCTGCCTCATCCTCGTCCAATTTACTTCTTCTCATCAACTTCACGTCATCTGCGAACAGGGACACACTGTGTGTGTGTGTGTGTGTGTGTGTGTGTGTGTGTGTGTGTGTGTGTGTGTGTGTGTGTGTGTGTGTGTGTGTGTGTGTGTGTGTGTGTGTGTGTGTGTACGTACTCACCTAGTTGTACTCGCCTAGTTGAGGTTGCGGGGGTCGAGCTCCTGGCCCCGCCTCTTCACTGATCGCTACTAGGTCACTCTCCCTGAGCCGTGAGCTTTATCATACCTCTGCTTAAAGCTATGTATGGATCCTGCCTCCACTACATCGCTTCCCAAACTATTCCACTTACTGACTACTCTGTGGCTGAAGAAATACTTCCTAACATCCCTGTGATTCATCTGTGTCTTCAGCTTCCAACTGTGTCCCCTTGTTACTGTGTCCAATCTCTGGAACATCCTGTCTTTGTCCACCTTGTCAATTCCTCTCAGTATTTTGTATGTCGTTATCATGTCCCCCCTATCCTGTCCTCCAGTGTCGTCAGGTTGATTTCCCTTAACCTCTCCTCGTAGACATACCTCTTAGCTCTGGGGCTAGTCTTGTTGCAAACCTTTGCACTTTCTCTAGTTTCTTCACGTGCTTGGCTAGGTGTGGGTTTTCCCAAAATGGTGCCGCATGTGTGTGTGTGTGTGTGTGTGTGTGTGTGTGTGTGTGTGTGTGTGTGTGTGTTACCATTTTGTCCTAGGCACATGTCGATTAGACACTAGGCCTGTTGTGTGTGTGTAGGTGTGTGTGTGTGTGTGTGTGTGTGTGTGTGTGTGTGTGTGTGTGTGTGTGTGTGTGTGTGTGTGTGGTGTGTGTGTGTGTGTGTGTGTGTGTTAGCTACCATTTTGTCCTAGGCACATGTCGATTAGACACTAGGCCTGTTGTAGGTGTGTGTGTGTGTGTGTGTGTGTGTGTGTGTGTGTGTGTGTGTGTGTGTGTGTGTGTGTGTGTGCGCGTGTCAGACGCTGCATACATCGCGTTTGTTTCCCTGTTTAGTTAATTATGTTGTATTTCTGTGTGTTTAAAACCCTGAGTATTTTACAAGGTAGCAGTGTTGACAACATGCTGTGTTGCAGTGTTGACAACATGCTGTGTTGCAGTGTTGACAACATGCTTGTGTTGCAGTGTTGACAACATGCTGTGTTGCAGTGTTGACAACATGCTGTGTTGCAGTGTTGACAACATGCTGTGTTGCAGTGTTGACAACATGCTGTGTTGCAGTGTTGACAACATGCTGTGTTGCAGTGTTGACAACATGCTGTGTAGCAGTGTTGACAACATGCTGGTTTGCAGTGTTGACAACATGCTGTGTTGCAGTGTTGACAACATGCTGAGTTGCAGTGTTGACAACATTGCTGTGTTGCAGTGTTGACAACATGCTGTGTTGCAGTGTTGACAACATGCTGTGTTGCAGTGTTGACAACATGCTGTGTAGCAGTGTTAACAACATGCTGTGTTGCAGTGTTGACAACATGCTGTGTTGCAGTGTTGACAACATGCTGAGTTTGCAGTGTTGACAACATTGCTGTGTTGCAGTGTTGACAACATGCTGTGTTGCAGTGTTGACAACATGCTGTGTTGCAGTGTTGACAACATTGCTGTATTGCAGTGTTGACAACATTGCTGTGTTGCAGGTTGACAACATGCTGTGTTGCAGTGTTGACAACATTGCTGTGTTGCAGTGTTTACAAACATTGCTGTGTAGCAGTGTTGACAACATTGCTGTGTTCGTGTTTGTGTTGTGTGTGTGTGTGGTGTGTGTGTGTGTGTGTGTGTGTGTGTTGTGTGTGTGTGCGCGTGTGGTGCGTGTGTGTGCGTGTGTGTGCGGTGTTGTGCGTGTGTGTGGTGTGTGTGGTGTGTGTGTGTGTGTGGTGTCTGTGTGTCTGTGTGGTGGTGTTTGAGTGTGTCTGGTCGTGGTGTTTACTACCTATTGAGGTTGCGGGGGTCGAGTCCGAGCTCCTGGCCCCGCCTCTTCACTGTCGCTACTGGTCCTCTCCCTGACCCGTGAGCTTTATATACCTCTGTTTAAAAGCTATGTATGGATCCTGCCCCCCACTACATCCTTCCAAACTTTATTACTGACTACTTGTGGCTAAAGAAATTTTCCCTAACACCCCTGTGATTATCTGGTTTTCACTTCCAACTGTGCCCCCTTTTTTACTTTTCAAATCTCGGGAACCCCCGTCTTTTCCCCTTTCTTTCCTCTCGTATTTTGTATGTCATTATCATGCCCCCCCTATCCTCCTGCCCTCCGGTGTCGGGTTTGATTTTCCTAACCTCTCCTCGGGAATACCCTTACTCTGGGACTAGTTTGTTGAAAAACCTTTGCATTTCTCTAGTTTCTTTCGTGCTTGGTGGGTGTGGGTTCCCAAAACTGGTGCCCGTGTGCTTTGGCGGGCGTTGTTGTGGTGTGTGGTGTGTGTGGTTGTGTGTGTGTGTGTGTGTTGTGTGTGTGTGTGTGTGTGTGGTGTGTTGGGTGTGGTGTGTGTGTTGGGTGTGTGTGTGTGGTGGTGGGTGTTGTGTGTTGTGTGTGTTTTTTTTGTTTTAAATTCATGAGTGGAGGCAAGGATTTTTTCGCTTTGACTACTGGGAGTGTGAGAAGGGGTAACATTTTTGAAAGGATTCAAGAAAATTTTAGCCAGACTTGATTTTTTTTTTCAGAGGTGAGATACAGCGCCTCACTCGAAGGGGGGGTGGGGTTGAAAATTTGAGGGGCATTGAGTGCGTATTGGCATACTGTGGAAAATAATGACAAGAGTGAATAAAGGTCAAAGTTTCTTTTGTTACAGGTCACCCCCCCCGGTGGGAAATGACCAGTGCAGGAAAAAAAAAAAAAAAACATAAGAAATAAAAAAGGAGGAACATGCAGGGGCCCGCTGCCCATACTGGAGGGGCTTTACATTTCCCCTAGCAAAAAAATTTGCCCAACCCAATTTTCAAAGCCACCCAAAAAAATAAGTCAATGTGAAAGTCCCATCAAATCCCAACCCTCCCATATGACTTATCCCAACCCAGATTTTAAACTACCCCAAAATCCCAAACCCCAAAAACCCAACTAGGTAGACTGTTCCCCTCATCAAACCCCCTTTTCCAAACCAAAACTTTTTATGCCCTTTTTAAATTAAAATTACTAATTAATCCATTATGCGGGGTTTTCTCTTTGGGGGAGACATCTCAAGACCTTTTTAATATCCCCTTTTTTAAAACCTATTTCCCCTTATACCCTTCGATCAGGTTCCCCCCCATTCTTCGTTAAAAGTGAAGTAACTTAAGAGCTTTTAATCTTTCTTATAAGGAAGATTTCTAATGCTTTGTATTAATTTAGTCATCCTAGCTGAATGTTTTTAAGAATTTAGTCCATTTTGTATACGGAACCGAAAAGAGCTGATAAACTAGGTGAGGCTTAAAGATGTTAAAGCTGCAGTTATCTCTGGACTTTGTTTCTTACACTTTTTGATATAAACCCCTAATCTATTTTCCTTATTA